AACAATCCAACAAGAAGAAATAACCCTGGTAAATATATATGCACCCAATACAGGAGCAACCAAATACATAAAAAAACTGCTGGAGGACATTAAGAGAGAGATTAATAGCAATACAATCATAGTAGGAGATTTTAATACCCCACTGTCACCCTTCGACAAATCATCTAAACAAAAAAACAGCAAAGAAATATCGATCCTAAGTGACTCACTAGACCAGATGGAATTAATTGACATCTTCAGAACACTCCACCCCAAAGCCACAGAATATACATTCTTCTCAAGTGCACATGGGACATTCTCAAAGATAGACCACATTTTGGGTCATAGGCAAAGTCTCTTCAAATTCAAGAAGATAGAAATCATATCAAGTATCTTCTCAGACCATAATGGCATAAAACTGGAAATTAACTACAATAAAAATAATCCAAAGAAATCAAACACATGGAGACTAAACAGCACGCTATTAAACAAGGACTGGGTTACCAGAGAAATCAAGGAAGAAATTAAAAACATCCTGGAAACAAATGACAATGAAAACACAACAATCCAAAATCTATGGGACACAGCAAAAGCAGTCTTGAGAGGGAAGTTCATATCCTTACAAGCCTATTGCAAAAAACTAGAAAAAGGGGTAACAGATGATCTAACTCTACAACTCAAAGAGTTAGAAAAGGAGCAACAAGAAAAGCCCAGTGTAAGCAGAAGGAAGGAAATAACAAAAATCAGAGCACAGATAAACGACATAGAGACCAAAAAAACAATACATAAGATCAACAAAACCAAGAGCTGGTTCTTTGAAAGAATAAACAAGATAGATGAACCTCTAGCCAGGCTAACTAAGAAACAAAGAGAGAGGACCCAAATAAACAAAATCAGAAATGAAAGAGGTGAAATAACAACAGACCCCAACGAAATACAACGGATTGTTACAAAATACTACGAACAACTCTATTCCAACAAACTGAACAACCTGGAGGAAATGGACATATTCCTAGAAAAATACAAACTTCCAAAACTCGATCAGGAAGAATCTAAAAATCTCAATAGACCAGTGACTTGGGAAGAAATTGAAACAGTCATCAGAAAGCTTCCAGCAAACAAAAGCCCAGGGCCAGATGGCTTCACAGGAGAGTTTTACCAAACATTCAAGGAAGAACTAAAACCTATCCTCCTCAGACTTTTCCAAAAAATTCAAGAGGAAGGAACACTTCCAAACTCCTTCTATGAAGCCAGCATCACCCTAATACCAAAACCAGATAAAGACAACTCAATGAAAGAGAATTACAGGCCAATATCCCTCATGAACATAGATGCCAAAATCCTCAACAAAATCCTAGCAAATCGGCTCCAGCAGAGCATCACAAAGATCATACACCATGACCAAGTAGGATTTATTCCAGGAATGCAAGGATGGTACAATATCCGCAAATCAATAAACGTGATACATCACATAAACAAATTGAAAGATAAAAATCATATAGTCATATCAATTGATGCAGAAAAAGCATTCGATAAAATCCAACACCCTTTCCTGATAAAAACTCTTAACAAAGTGGGAGTACAAGGATCATACCTCAACATAATAAAAGCTATATATGATAAACCCACAGCCAACATTATACTCAATGGGCAAAAACTAAAACCATTCCCTCTAAGAACAGGAACAAGACAGGGATGCCCACTTTCGCCACTCCTGTTTGACATAGTACTGGAAGTACTAGCCATTGCAATTAGACAAGAGGACGAAATAAAAGGCATCCAAATTGGAAAAGAAGAAGTAAAGTTATCCTTATTTGCAGATGACATGATATTGTACATAAAGAACCCAAAAGACTCCATTAAGAAACTAATTGACTTAATAAATGAATTTGGCAATGTAGCAGGATACAAAATTAACGCCAAGAAATCCATGGCATTTCTATACACCAACAGTGAAACTACAGAAACAGAGACTAAAAAAGCAATTCCATTTACCATCGCACCAAAAAAATTAAGATACCTAGGAATAAATTTAACTAAGGAAGTAAAGGATCTATATGCAGAAAATTACACGACACTGAAAAAAGAGATAGAGGATGATGTAAGGAGATGGAAGAACATACCATGTTCATGGATTGGTAGAATCAACATCATCAAAATGTCCATACTTCCTAAAGCAATCTATAGGTTCAATGCACTCCCCATTAAAATACCAAGGGCATATTTCACTGACCTAGAAAGAACTCTCCAACAGTTCATTTGGAACAATAAAAGACCCCGAATAGCCACAGCAATCCTGAGAAAGAAGGGTAAAGTAGGAGGGATCTCAATACCGGACTTCAAACTGTATTACAAAGCCACTGTTCTCAAAACAGCCTGGTACTGGCGCAAGAACAGACATATAGATCAATGGAATAGAATCGAGAACCCAGATATCAACCCAAATCAATATGCTCAATTAATATTTGACAAAGGAGGAAAGAATATACAATGGAGTCAAGACAGTTTCTTCAATAAATGGTGTTGGGAAAATTGGGTAGACACATGCAAAAGAATGAAACTAGATCACCAACTTACACCATACACAAAAATAAACTCAAAATGGATACAGGACTTAAACATCAGACGGGAAACCATAAAAATACTAGAAGCATCTTCAGGCAGCAAAATCTCAGACGTATGCCAAAAGAACTTCTTCACTGATACTGCCCCTAGGGCAATGGAAGCTAAAGAGAAAATAAACAAATGGGACTACATCAAAATAAAAAGCTTTTTTACAGCAAAAGAAACCATCAACAAAACAACAAGAAAGCCCACGGTGTGGGAGAACATATTTGCAAATAACACCACTGATAAAGGTTTAATCTCTAACATCTACAGACAGCTGATACAACTAAATAAAAGGAAGATGAATGATCCAATTAAGAAATGGGCAAGGGACCTAAATAGAATATTTTCAAAAGAAGACAGAAGGAAGGCCAAAAGGCACATGAAAACATGCTCAAAGTCACTAATTATACGAGAGATGCAAATCAAAACAACAATGCGGTACCATCTCACACCTGTCAGAATGGCCAACATCAACAAATCGACAAACGACAAGTGTTGGCGAGGTTGCGGAGAAAAAGGAACCCTCGTGCACTGCTGGTGGGAATGCAGACTGGTGCAACCACTGTGGAGAACAGTGTGGAGTTTCCTCAAAAAACTGAAAATGGAACTCCCATTTGACCCAGTAATCCCACTCCTAGGAATATATCCCAAGAAACTAGAAACACCAATCAGAAAGGATATATGCACCCCTATGTTCATAGCAGCACAATCTACAATAGCCAGAATTTGGAAACAGCCTAGGTGCCCGTCAGCAGATGATTGGATCAAAAAACTATGGTACATCTACACAATGGAATACTATGCTGCCATAAAGAAGAAGGAATTCTCATCATTTGCAGCAACCTGGATGGAATTGGAGAACATCATGCTGAGTGAAATAAGCCAATCAATGAAAGAGAAACACCACATGACCTCACTCATTTGTGGATAATAAAGAGCATTATAAACTGATGAACCAAAAGATAGATATAGAGACAGTAAAGCAACAAGCAGATTGTCAAATTACAGCGGGGAGGGGAGGAGGATCTGGGGGAGATAATAGATCAACCGAAGGACTTGTATACATGCATATAAGTACAACCAATGGACATAAAACTATGGGGAGGGAGGGGCTATGGGGGAGGGAGGGAGGGGGGCAAAAAAAATCATTAAAATATGTAAAAAAATAAATAAATTAATTAATTAAAAAAAAAAAAAGAAACATAAAAAAAAAAAAAAAGAAAAAAAAAAAAATAAAGATGTGACATATGGAAGCTAAAACTTAAAGACATTTTTTAACATCTCCAAATGAAATTTGTATTACTATCCTATGATGAATGTGCTGATTATTGATTACTTATTCTCAAGTAACCCTTTCCTTAACAAAAAGGAAATGTCTCAAATGGTGGCAAAAGAATAAAAAAAATTGATATTTTCTTTCTAAACTGGTGAATTCCATGTTGTATTTTTAGTGTTAGGGGCATCCATATAACTGGGTTTATTATCATAGACAGTTGCAAAGCCCTATCTCTATTCAGAACATTTACAGTTTACATAATCCCCAGTCTTCAGAAAAGGTATAAACAACAAATGGAATTCTGCAAGTCAAAGTAGTCATTCTCTCCGACTCCCAAACTTCTGTTGCCTAAGATACTGACTTTGGTTTTAATTAAACTCCCATTGGGATGCTTTAATTTTCCCATTATAAGCTAATAAAAGACCAGCTACATGTCTAATAATAATATATTCTATCTGCCGAAACCGGTTTGGCTCAGTGGATAGAGTGTCAGCCAGCGGACTAAAAGGTCCCAGGTTTGATTCCTGTCAAGGGCATCTACCTTGGTTGCAGGCACATCCCCAGTAGGGGGTGTGCAGGAGGCAGCTGATTGATGTTTCTCTCTAGTCAATGTTTCTATCTATCCCTCTCTCTTCCTCTCTGTAAAAAATCAATAAAATATTTTTTAAAATAATAAATTCTATCTATACTCCACATTCTTGTAAGCAGACATTATCATTATTTAAAGAGACTCATGCAATGCACCTGTTCTTATAAACAGATATAGTCAGTCTTTCCTCAATATACTCCTAAACCATCCTTGCATGACCTAACACCTGGAAACATGGAAGAAATCCTAAAGAATAACAGTTTTCAAACATGGATAGAATCTTGCTGGATACTATTACCTATTTCAGTAGTGAAACTCCAAGGAATTGATATTTAGATTTATGTATCTCAATTCAAGAGGACAAAACCATCCTCAAATCACAGATGATCCTTGCCAGGAACCTTGAACTGAGAACACTTAGGAACCATCTAAAATCAATTTCCATTAGGGGACAGCTTCTACCCAACACTTCTTTTTTATTTATTAGTTGGCTGTATGAAATATAAACAACTTCTATCCAGGTTCATGGGGGGGGGTAATGGTCACCCTTCCATCTTTCTTAATATTATTTTTCCATTTTTGGTCACTACTTAATATGGGTCTAATACCTGGACATAATTAAATTTGTAAGCTGGCAAAAGTGTATAATAAAATGGACTATTGGGTTTGTAAGTCACTAGGATTTCTTTCTTTGTTTTTATTATTTTTTACAAGAGGCCCAGTGCACAACATTTGTGCACTGGGATCCCCCATCCCCTTTAGTCTGGCCTGTGTCCTCTCACATTCCAGGACCCTTCACTCCTTACCTCCCACCTGTCGCTATACTTACCAGCCATGAGCCCAGCTTCTGGCTGAGTGGCACTCCCCCTGTAAGAGTGAGTGCACTGACCAACAGGGGTTAGCTCCTATGTTGAGCATCTGCCCCCTGGTGGTTAGTGCACATCATAGTGACCAGTCGTTCTGCTGTTTAGTTTATTTGCATATTAAGGTTTTATTATATAGGACTTTTGTGTGTGTGTGTGTGTGTGTGTGTGTGTGTGTGTGTGTGTGGTGAATTAGTTGATTTTCTGAGTAACTAACTCAACTATTTGGTAACTTTTAAATCCATAGACTCCAATAGGCCAAATAACTAGAAATTTAAAAACCTCTATCACTTCATTATTAGAAAAGGAGACTCCTGGCCCTATCAGAACAATATTTCAGAATTTTTCATAAGAGCTAGCTTAAAAAAATAGTGAATGCACTTTCATAGAAATAAAACTTTGAATATAATTATAAAATAGATAGAGTATATATGAAAACTATCTTCCTTTTACTGATCTCATGAGCAAGAAGCACTCTTGTTTTAAGTCTATCTATTTATCTTTGATTTATTGGAATCATACCATTCCTGATGAGCAGTGCCATGGCACTGGGCCTCAGTTTCAGAAGAAGAAACTTAACCTTTCAAGTTGAATTCTAGGCTTTATTTTTTTCTCTCCTCAAACCTCTTCACTCTGTGCTTTACCAAATGCCCCAGGAAAGGAGGAATACTGGACAAACCCCTTGCCCATGAGATTAAGCAGGCAGTAATTCAGAATAGAGTCTCTCTAGATAGCTTCTCCAACAGGAACATGGGCTTTTATGGGGTGAGGGAAGCAGTGTTTGCTTATATCCATGTAGATCTCTCTAAGGTCTTTAATAGTAATAAAATTGTCTGAGTAAAATAAATATAATTAGGTTAGAGGCCTGGTGCACATATTTGTGCACCGGTGGGGTTCCTCGGCTTGGCCTGCGGGGATCTGGCCAAAACAAGCTCTGTGACATCCCCTGAGGGGGTCCCAGATTACAAGAGGGACCCCACCAATGCATAATAGGGGCCAGGGTGAGGGATCATGGGAAGGCTCCAGGGTGTGTATGGCCCATCTCACCCAGTCCCGATTGGCTGGACCCCAGCAGCAAGCAAACCTACCAGTTCGAGCATCTGCCCCTTGGTGGTCAGTGCATGTCATAGCGACTGGTTGAATGGTTGAATGGTCGGACACCTAGCAAATTAGGCTTTTATTATACAGGAAAATTTGGCCAATATAGCTATAGCTTGCTCCAAAGACACTTTGGTGGCTCTCATCCTTAGGTATAAATTTGGGCACTATCAGCAACTGGCTTAGAAGCAGACTGTAAATGCTGATAATTATTCTACTTACTTTTTGTTTGTGTTACACTTTATAATTGTGATCTCTGTTGTCATAGTGCTTTTGTGTAGCTGCTGTACTATCAAATGTTCTAACAAATAGTCGTCAAATAAAAAGACAGAAAAACATGACAGTCAGGTGAAACAACCATCCCTCAAACTTGATAGACCATTAAAACACCTTAAATTGTGGTGAAGAGCATGGTTAATAATGTCCCCTAATATTGACGGTCTATCCTTCCTTCTGGTCAGGTTTTGAATGATTACTATGGGTCAGAAGAGTACTAAGACTTAAAACCATCTCAAAACACTTAACTTACTGCCTATCCTAACGTGGCTTTACTATTTGGTTGCCTTCATTAAAATGATTCTATACTCTACTGTATTCTGTGATATGACTTTCTTAATCCCCAGAAGCAAAAAGTTGCAAATAACATTACTATTAATTTCAGAAAATTTTTTGAAAGCCTTATTAAATAAATACAACAGTTTCCATCTTTTCAATATATTACAGCAAATTCTGTTTACTCTTTAAGCTGTTTCAAACCTGCAGCTCAACATCTTTGTCTCACTGAGTTTACCAATCCTAAACTATCATATAATCAAGCATATTCACTTGTCACTTGGAATTCCTTCATCAGCATTTATGATAAATGCAAGTTTGTGGCATGATACTCGGGGTCTATCTCATGTTCACCTCACCAGCCTCATGTCTCATGGCCACAGCACCCAGACATTTCCGATTACTTTCAGGCAGACTTTGTAATGATTGTCAATTTCATTTTTCAGCAGTTCACCACCACTTTTGCAAGAAATTTCTTCTTGCTGTTTGTTGATATTATGTTCTCTACGGTACTTTCTCTGAAGCCTCAGGATTATTATCAAAACCAAACACTAGGGTTGTATTTTATATCTCTGTTTCCTACTATTTTTATATTTATAGGTTACTTATAAATATTCTACTAGATATTTTGACAGTTGTGCTTGGAAGAATTAAGACTGAAAACAATACTGCCCACAAGTTAGTAATAATATAACAAAATCTCTGTAATATAACAGTGTCTCAGAGTGTCTATAAAATAATCCATAATTACTGTACCATTTAATGTTTGCTTTTCAACACCATGCTTCCTTTAGCCATGTTTTTTGCCCTAAACAAGCCCTGTGTTCTCATGAGGCCAAGTGTTTGCATGTTCCAAAAAGCACTTTCTTTGACATTCACTTAATTTTATGCTTCCACTTTTACCTCTGACACAAAGTGAGTTGCACCTTGCTCTGCAACCAGGGTAGCATTCAGCCTGACAGATTTGACCATAAAATAGGTGTATAGAGTTTAAAATTAAAATACACGTTATACATCCATCAAATTTGTCACATATTTGGAAAGGGTTTAGGATACTCCATTATGTTGTGTCATATTTTGTCATATTGGTCAAAAACCATGGTTTAAAACAGAATTTATAATACTGGTATATGGCTTTTTATATATTTTTATATTCCCAGGGCTTAGAATGACATTTGAAATATCAGCACAGTGAATTGAATCAGATTATTTGTGCCTCAACCATCTTTTCTAACTTCATATGTAACAAGTACACCAATAAACAGTTTCTTGTTTCTCAACAGTGACTTTTTGAACAGTAAACTGTGAACATTTGGCTGCATTGGCCACCTTCAGATGTGTGCTCAGGATTGCAGTTTACTGAGATTCAGCTCATGCAGATTATGACTAGAAAGTGCAGGTCATGACAATCCCTACCACATGGAATTTACTTGCAGTCCTTTCAATTTAGAGCCGCTATAATTCACAGTCAATGACAAACTATATTTTGAAATCATGCTACCAAGTTATATGCTCATGACTTTTAGGATTTTTAAATAAGTTAAATGTGTATACAAATTTCATTTCTTAGATCAATTTTAGAATAAACAATTAAAAAATAATCACATTGGGAGTTTTAGAGGAGGAGAGAAACCAAGATGGAGGCATAGGTAATCACCTATACTTGCTGCCTCTCACAACCAAATCAAAACCACAACTAAAAAGCGTCACAACTACCACTGAGAACCACAGGAAAGCTGGCTGAATGGAAGTTCCACTAGAGAGGTGAAGAAAGTGTATTGAGACCAGTAAGATGTGCAAAGGCGTGGAGGGAGGGGGATACAAGTTTCCACTTGCTCTGAACTCAAGTTCTGGGCAAGACTCTGGGGGACCCAGACACATATGGGGAAAAACTGGACTGTCTGGTGTCAGGTCAGGAATGCAAGGGAAGCTTATTCTTAGATGTGCTTGCAGAGATCACTGTTCCTGCATGGGGGCATGAGATATGGAGAACCAGGGACTTCTCTGGTTCAGAGCAGCCATTGCAGTTTGCTCCACCCTCATGATTCCCAGAGATCCCACCCCACCCAATTTACAATCCCACCCAAGCTGTGTGCATCAGCTTTTACATATGAATGGCCTGTCCTTTAGTCTAAAACAAACTGCAGCTGGTTCAGAGAGCCCCAGAGATTTCAAAAAGGCCCAAGGCCTGGGAGCAGCAGCCTGCCTTGCTTCACAGCTGAGCCTCATATGGCATTTCCAAATCCCATACAAAGCAGAGGAACCTTCATATCTCTCTGTAGTTCCTGCTGGGAGGCCCCAGACAGAGGCTAACCTTATACCTCCTTGGAGATCCAAGAGCCAGTATACCCAGTGGTCAGAGTGAGAACATACCAGACTACAACTTTTCACATCCATAAGCGACACAGTACAGGAGCAGACTCAGTGAGCACCCAAAGCCCTCTGAAGCAAGTCTTGCTCCATAACGGTGTCTCCTGTTCATCAGATCTTCCAGTGTAGACACAGCTGATCACTACAGCCAATTGGCCTGCAGGTCAATTCCTCCCAGCAATCAAGGGTTAACTATAAAAAATCTGTGCAAACAGCCCACAAAGGGGTGCACCAAGAGCGTCTACCTCAGGTGACTGGGGAGACTAAGACACTGAGCCCTGTAGGACACCAACCACACTAGGTAACTCTATACACTTAAGGAAACTTAGCAGTACATAGAAACAAACACAGGGAATCAGCCAAAATGCAGAGACAAAGAAACAAGTTACAAATGAAAGAAATAGATGAAAGCAAAATACTGGATATAGAGTTTAAAAGCATGGTTATAAGATTACTCAAGTATTTCCTAGAAATCTACAAAAAATTTAGTGAGACCCTCAAAAATATGAAAAAGGACCAATCAGAAATTAAGCATACATTGACTGAAATAAAGAATAATATACAGAGATCCAACAGCAGACTAGAGAATCCCAAAAATCAAGTCAAATATTTGAAATATAAAGAAGTAAAAAACACCCAACCAGAAAAGCAAAATGAAAAAATAATCCAAAATGAAAAAAATAAAAATATGAAGATAGTGTAAGGAGTCTCTGGGACAACTTCAAGTGTACCAACAACTGACTTACAGAGGTGCCAGAAGAAGAGAGAGAGCAAGATATTGAAAACCTATTTGAAGAAATAATGACAGAAAACTTCACCTACCTGGTGAAAGGAAGAGACTTGCAAGTCTAGGGAGCACAGAGAACCCCAAACAAGAGGAATCTAAAGAGGAACACTCCAAGATACGTTGTAATTAAAATCCCAACGGCAAATGACAAAGGGAGAATCTTGCAAGCAGCAAGAGAAAAATGGTTAGTTAACTACAAGGGAGTACCCATAGGACTGTCAGCTGATTTCTCAACAGAAACTATGCAGGCCAAAAGAGAGTGGCAAGAAATATAGAAAGTGATGAAGAGCAAGAACCTACAATCAAGATTACTCTACCCAGCAAAGCTATCAGTCAGAATATAAGGTCAGATAAAGAACTTCACAGCCAAGAAAAAACTAAAGGAGCTCATCACCACCAAACCAGCATTATATGAAATGCTGAAGAGGAGGAAAAAGATAAAGATAAAAATTATGAACAACAAAGTGACAACAAATACATATCTATCAACAAGGAATCTAAAAATCAAGTGAATAGCCGAAACTGGTTTGGCTCAGTGGTAGAGCATCGGTCTGCGAACTGAAAGGTCCCATGTTCAATTCTGGTCAAGGGCATGTACATTGATTGCGGGCACATCCCCGGTAGGGGGTGTGCAAGAGGCAGCTGGTTGATGTTTCTCTCTCATTGATGTTTCTAGCTTTCTATCTCTCTCCCTTCCTCTCTGTAAAAAATCAAGAAAATATATATATATTTTTTAAATCAAGTGAATAAAAAATCTGAAGAACAGAATAAACTGGTGAATATAATAGAATCAGGGGCATAGAAAGGGAGTGGACTGACAGTTTTTGGGGGGAAGGAGGTATGAGGGGTGTGAGAAGAGATTGGACAAAATCATACATCTATGGATGAAGGCAATAGGGGGGTAAGGGTATGGGGCGGGTTGGGAACTGGTTGGAGGGGAGCCATTGGGGGGGAAAAAGAAGAACAATTGTAATTATCTGAATAAAAAAGATTTATTAAAAAATAAGCATATTGCCGAGACCAGTTTGGCTCAGTGGATAGAGCATCGGCCTTCTGACTGAAAGGTCCCGGGTTCGATTCTGGTCAAGGTCATGTACTTTGGTTGCGGGCACATCCCCGTAGGGAGTGTGCAAGAGGCAGCTGATTGATCTCTCATCTATGTTTCTAACTCTCTATCCCTCTCTCTTCCTCTCTGTGAAAAATCAATAAAATATATTTTTTTAAATAAGCATTTTGATATTCTTTTAGTGAGATTTAGCTTTAGATAATTTACTTCTAATTATGTTCATAGTATAAACCTTATTGGATATGATTTATTTAAAGGGGAATTTTTATGAATAATAAGTAGAAATATGCCCTAACAGAACTTTGTGCAAATTTTATATTTACTAACTTTGTAAACTATGTTAAAAAATATTGAGAGACAACCAAAGAGCACCTATATGAAAATAAATTGCCCTTATACATACTAAATGATTACTATTATATTTTAGTGATGAAAATATATTTTATTAAGAATATATAGTATCCATGTGATTTAAAATATTTAACCTTCATCCGTTGAGGAAGTGTTGTTCAGGTTTGTCTACTACTGTTTTACTTTGTTCTCTTTTTCTCTTTTCTCCTTTCATGACCCTCTCACTCATTCTTGTTTTATTTGTTCCTCTTACTGCTTATTGTTTCTTACCTTGTTCCTACTCTATTTCTTCTTCTCTTGCTTTGTTTCTTATTATTCTTGTCATTTTTCTTCTTCTTGTTATTCTATTAATTTTTTCCTCATATTTCTTTTACTTATTCATTCTCTTGTTTCTGTCTTTTAAAAAACTGGTTAAATGTTAATGTAATTCTGTTGTTTTTCTGTTCTCCCTCAGTTTCCCCTTCAAAAGATTTCTAGCATTTAAATCAAAAGAATGTTGTCCAAAATTAAATAAATGAGTATATAAATAAATGTATTTATTTTATTAATCTTTTTATCTTTGGAGTATTGAACAGAGCCTTTTCCATAGACAACAAATAAATGGTGGTTACCTACTGCATGATTTCTCTAAGAAATAGAAACCCTTTTAATTCAAGATAGGCTTGATGATAGAGTATAATATATGTTAATTCCATCCCCTTAACACTTATAAGATTTTCTGGGAGTTTGCCTCAACTTTATAAAAAAAAATGGAAACAGTTTAGTATACCATATAGTCTTCTAGCTTCCTGGTCATACTAAACGTGAAGCACAAAAAGTGGATATATATCCACTTAAAGTATTCAAATTTTAACTTTTGGAAAAATTTAAATTCATGTCTAATATTGATAAGGGTTAACTATCTAAAGGTTGGAGACATTTCTGGTCTGAACAATTAAAATAGTCACAAACCAAGAAGAGGTATCTCTGGCTCGAGCAATTAAAAACAGCCTGACTTGAGCAGCTGGGGAGTCATTAGGGGTAATAAAACATCTCTGCCAGGACAACTGAGAGAAGGTCCATTGGAGAGGAATGCATAGATGGGGGCTTGGAGACACCAAAATGCTTATCTTACTTGTACAGAGGATAGAAAAATGCCACAAGATGAGGTGGGGGGGTGGGGGGAGATATACATTCACAGATGATAAAGAAAGATCACAGGATATCAAGAAGAAGGGAACATATTTTTATGGAGGGTAGAGGAATGTTGCAAAATAAGAGGGGAAAAAAAGGCTTTGAGCTTTGAAAATAATACTATATAGAAGAATGGCCAATGAGGAAAGCATAGGGGTCCCACATTAAGGAAAAGGACCAATTAGAAAAGGTCGTGTGCAGAAAACGAACTACTGCCTTTATAAACTGGAGACAAAGAGACTCAGTAGATTCAGATCATTTAGATTTTTTTCCCCTCATTAGAGACAGAGAGAGCAGGTTTTTCCCATTTGGGGGCCTCTCCCCAGGGGACCTTTTTTGGGGACACCTTTCCAAGATGATGTTTGTATATGCTTCCAGGAAATGTTTACATTTTTATTAAATAAATCTGTTACTCCATGAATTTATTCTTCAATCTAATTGGACAAAATCCCATGAGAAGAATTTCCCCCCTGACTTCATGTATCAATATCAGTTCAAGTTTATAAAGGTTTCTGAGTGTCCATTGTACTATTTTAATAATGAGTATATCACAATTTCATTTCAAAAATATGGATCAAATATCTGATTTCTTTCATGTTCTTTCCCATTTAAGAATAAAAATTTACTCCAAAGTTGATTTCTGAGGAAAGAAAAGAAGTATATTATATAAAATTTAGGCATGTTTGTCATTTTAAATATTCCCCATTTGAGCTAAATGACCTCTGTTCACCTCTATTTTGACCTTTACATTTCACTTTTAAAAAGAATTCTGCCAGGAATACAGAATATGGGCATATCTAGTTTAAATGGCCATGAGCAGGAGCTACAGAATGTCTAGATATAACACTTTAATCTACTCTTTCCAGACAATAACTCTCTCCCAAATCAACCACAGAGATTAAACTGATTCCCTAAAAACGGATAGAACTAATATAATCATGCTGTAGAAGCTTGCCCATTTTCATTACCAGAAGCTCAATTATCCCAGGTAGTTTATACTCATCTAGACACTAGTCTTTATTTAAGGTATGGCTATCTAATTCCCTACCTCTGACTATCATTCACAACCTTCCACTGTTCTTATTGGAACGTGTTTTATCATGTTTCATATTTTTATATTCCTGACCTGTTCTATGTTTTCCTGTTACTTTTATATTCCATAAAGAGTATTTGCTTTCTCTTGAGAATACTTCTTTCCTTCTTCCCTATGTCCCTCAGCACACTAGCAATTTCTCAGATTTAAAAAAAAAAAATCTATTTAACATTCCACTGGAACAAACTGTATATGGCACAGTTACCTACCTTTTTTCTCATTGTCATTTCCAAACTATTTTCCTCAAAATACCACAGCTCTTTTGAGAAACATGCCTTCAGATTTACACCCAAAATTTGTATGTTATAAATATTTATAAACTTATGCTAAGTTCTAATTTTTAAAAAACTTTATCACCAAGTTCAGGCTTCATTTCTTTCAGTATTGCTTTCCTCACTACCTAGAGTCTTTTCAATTAGCTCCTCAACCAGTTTATCTCACTTTTAAGATATTAAACTCACCCAACTAACCTAGCTAATATTAATATTAATAATGAAACAGTCTCTACATTATGTTAATCATTCATGGCTTTTACCTGTTCTCCTACCTTACTAAGCTGCTGCTAAATCTATTACTACTTCTTCAAAAAAATTTTCATATCAAACCTTTGACCACTTCACCCATCTTTTGCTACCTATCACCCTCAACTCATATCCTCATTTATCTCACTTTTACTATCCCACTAC